CTCTTACTATGCAGCACAGAACTCAGACAGAGATATCAGGAACTTTAAGAAGTGGATTGTAACTATGAGGCCCAGGTTTGTGGCTACAACATACTCACAAGAGCAATGCAAGTGTCTCATGGACTTTTCACAGTAATGGAAAGTATCCTGAAACTTTGGTATTCAGAGTGTTTGAAACCTTGCTGCTTTCTGAGTTCCAATGATATCTGCACGTGTTTCCAAACAACCTGCCTGGCTTGCTAGGGTGGTGGTTTTTTTTTTTAATTTTTTTTTTTTTTATTTCTTGATTGACAGTGAAACAAGCAAATCTGCTGATCTCCTGACCAAGTGAGTAATTTTTGTAAAGCTCGTACATATCAAGAATAAAGGTAGGCAGTGGCTTTTCTGGAAGGCTCTCAGATTGGAGAATCCTGAAAAAGCTCTCTCAGGCTTCAGATGACTCCATTTCTTCATATGGAAGCAGATGGACAATGCTGCATGACCTAACTTATGCGGCACAAGAGTGCCAATGCCTCCTGACAGCTTATGAGGAAGGGAGTGGACAAAGCGACAGAGAAGAGGTGATGGCCAGACATGTGGAAGGCTGATCCTCACAGCACCAGTCATACTGAAGGAAAGAGATGAAGCCCTAAGACAAAGCCTCCTCCCCTGTCATGTGTGTGGCAAGCATGGGAAGGCAACTGTCACCTCTGCTTCACAGATAGCACAAGGTGGTTCTGTGGGGAACTGCTGAATTACATACGAATCTTTGCATTTCAAGGTGACCTCCTCAGATTAACTCACTCCATCCTTCCACTGTCAGTGGGTAAAAATTAGGTGTCCCCCGTCATTAATTTAAAAATTATTACACTCTGAGTGCTGTTAAAATGGCTAAGCCACATACAGAATTAAGTACTCCTTGAACTTGGGCTGACAAAGGTTTCTTTACACCGTTTCAACTTCCTGTGAATCATGCTGTTCCTATGTCAGCGACCATGTGCAGACAGCCTTCATTCCAGCTGTGACAATGAAACAATTATTTACATGATGCCTTTTCAAGGTCTGGATAAGCCAATAAGAAATGAAAATTTCTGTGAAATTTAGGCAATCTCATGTGTCCCTCTGATGAGGTAGTAGAAAGCAGTGCTTATGCTTTAGATAACATGTAGTTTGAAATTTCTATGGTAGTTTCCAGTTGTAACACAAAATACTTATTATTATGGCCTTTTGAAGCATAATAAATGCTACTTCTTTGAGGCAGAGAGATTAAAAGTATGTGTCAAAATTAAGCACTTCAAGTAAAGAGATGTTTGCTTTATTTTCCCCGTAGAGTTCTTATTTATGCAATTGGAAGAAGTTGGGCACACAAGTGATAAAGGGCATGCATGGAGATTACACAGATTGAATTCACTCTAGAATGCTTAGCTTTCAGCTTACCATAATTCAAAGTTTATTTGCTTCCTTCTGCATGTTTTCTTTAAGATACTTTAAAATTATACTACCTGGCAATTGCTACAATTCTCTCCCTCTCATCGTGTCTGGGTTTTGCAGCCCCAGATGCATCTGGACTGATCCCATATACTCACAGCACCTGGAGCAGGAAGTACTTTGGTGTCCCAAATGCCAAGTATTGCATCCACAGGGATTTGCTAGCTGACACATTTGGTCATCCTGTTCTTTCATTTCAGACTGGAATAGGAAAGTACCAAATGTCTGTGGTGTCTGTAAGAATAGAAAGGCTGGCTAAATGGGCCATTAACTGGCCTGAAGAGTTTAATGGGGCAAATCCAGCTGAGCCAAACTCTGTAATAATGTAGTATGAAAAACATGATGAGGCAGAGTAGAGTCTGGATGGTCTTGCCTTCTTTCTTATTCATTTTGCTCCTTTTCCAAGTCAGCTCTTCACAGAGACTTGCTATCACCAAGTAGTTCCAGTGTTATTTGAGCCAAAATCTTTGGGATATTTACTATTACAACTTTTTGAGGATGTGGCATAGAATAGCAGGAAGAGGGTGGTATGGGGACAACATTTTGCTGCTTATGTAAACAGATAAAAGTGGAAATACTTGACCTTTGTCATGACAAGACTGAATAGAAATAGGTGCAACAAAGAAAACTTCATTCTCCTGCTGAAGTTAAAACCTTGCAAGACAACTTTTTTCACAGGAGGTCACAAGAACATTTTATAACGCAATGTGACAAACAATCTAAAGTTCTTTCTAACATAGATGAATATATAATAGCACTTATCATTCCTGTGTATGAGCCAGATCTTTGCAATAAATTAGCATTCCTTGGTTGAGTATATGGCACTGACCAATTTATACATTTGCAGAAAATTTGGCCCTAGAGTCTTCTAAACATTAGGATAACTTGCCCTGGAGAAGTAAAATATACAAACGGTATTGCCTTGGAAGAGTGAATCCCCCCTCAACAGATGTTGAAGAGCCCTCATAGACAAAATATATTTGCATTTGTATGCTTTTTTATGCAAATTCTTCAAAACTTTACAGACTCTTAAATTCAAATATCTGCGAACAAAAAGAGTATCTGCAATAAGACATATATTACACAATTTCCACAAAGGGATCATCTAAAATTAAAATTTTTTTGTTTCATTTAAGCCTTGCAAATGACAATCATTCTAAAAGTCAAAATAGCTTAGCCAGCTGTTAAAAAAGTACATACATTCATCATTACTGAAAGCATTACTGCTTTAAACATATATAATTCCAAAATAATCTCCTTGAAACAAAGAGAGCAACAGCCATAAAACATGCTGGACCTGAAACTGGAGACAAAGCAAGCAGTATTTGTTGTATTAAAAATCTGACAAAATACATTTCAATCATGTCCAGTCCTATGAATTCTAAAACAACCTGGAATGCCATTTGGCTTTCATGATTATTGTGTACTTAATCATTGTAAACAGAGCTTTCCGAACATTTCCATAAACTCTGGTTTTGTGAATCAACATTTAAGCAATCAGCATTACACCTTCTCTCCTTTGATGCTGTGCTGCTTGTGTGCAGCTTCTAAGTGGCATAAAATATCAGGATTTTTCTTATTTAAGAAGAGAAAAAGAATTTAATCACAGGAAAAAAAGCTGGACTTCAGAATGACCTCAGGTATCAGCTTTGTTGACGTGAATGGCAGAATTTGTGCTCTCCTTTTCTGTCTCAGGAATTGAAGAATTTTATGTGTCATGGTTGACGTGTTGATCAATAAAACAACAACTGTCTTTTACACTGAAAGTTTAGAGCAGTTTCAGATATCTGCATTAACCAAGCCAGTAGCTGTAGCAGAATCAATAGACAAGGCATCTTGCCTAGTGGTGTGGATAAATGAAGTATGACTAAACTTTCAACAGCCAATGAATACAGATTAAGATGATAAAATCCATATGCAGAATATGTTTTGCAAGCAGTATGCTTGGGAGTGGAATGTACTATAAAATGTTAGAAGTATTAAGAAATTCTAACTTTCATTTCCACTCTGCTTCACTCAGCATTTACACGCTAAGTTTGCAGTCAGGCTTCATTTTATTTTAAGACCTGTTGCAAACGACCTCGGTAAATTTGCTACTCTGTGTTCATCTGTCAGTTCTATAGCTTCATGTCACTTTAAATCTCTCTGCCTATTTCCCTAACCACTCATCCACATATTTAGCACACTTTCATCTCCTAATGAGCCCCTTTCTATTGTCAGTGAAGTTTCTGTTATGTCACTACTGCTATAGGAGCCAATCATCTTTAGTTCACGATGTAGATAAAAAGAATGAAACCATTTTTTTATTAATAGCCTTACACATTCATGTTTAAACAATGACTCCAACTTGTATCCTTTTCATCCAGATGCTTGAATTCAGAAGGACTGCACTAGAGCTTTGTGAGATAAAGTCAGACAAATATAAAATAATTCTGTTTCTAATCCAATCTGCTAAATTAGTTTCATTAAATGTGCTCTAATATTTGCTGCTTTTTCTCTTGGGTGGTTCAGACTTCTGCTCAACTTTCTTTGTAAAAAGGTGTCTGAATGAATGACTGGACAGCATTTCCAAAATGCAGATTTAGGTACATATAATATATATAATTAATACTAAAAAGTCTTAATAATATTAATAGTATGAATATTCTGAAGAAACCCAAAGAACATTTCTTTCATGCAGATACAAGCATACCAGATCTGTATTTCCCAGATGAACAGAAATTATCAAAAACTTCAGCATCAGGATGAAAATATATGATGGCCACTCAGTATAGATGGAAACACTTCCTACAGTAATGAAAGAATTAAGGAGGATACGCAATTGGCATACAAAAGGAAAAACATCCTATACCTGTGAGTCCAGAACTCATTACTGGTTCTCAGTTAAAATAATCTAACAATTTCCCTCTCTTCCTCACTGAAAATCAGGCATCCTTTATACTAATCATGAAGAACTTACACAGTACCATGCATCTGGCAGGGAGATGAACCTCTGAAAACTGGAAATTCATTAATGGATACTATTTAACAATGAAGAATCCAAGATACTGGTCTTAAAGGTTGCTTGTTTAAATTATTATTTCTGATATGGTCAAATAATGTAAATTTATGAATGTTACAGTACATACTGTTTAAATTGGCTAACTTAGTAAGAGTTGACTACCTTAAATCTGTGAAGTAAACAAGAAGACTGAATATTAAAGACAGTAGCTCAGCATAAAAAATGTGATATGCCCTTGAACTTGTAACACTGCAGTAAGCAATTACCTTAAAGAAGCCACCCACACAACAGAACTATGGCTTTGTTCCTTATCTTCAAAGAACAAGCCACTTGCATCTGGATCGAATCCTTTAAACAATACATGAACACTCAACATCAAAGCACTTTCATTTTCTTCAGTTATTTAATTTAATTAGAGCTAATACAGACATGAATTTAGACATTGATTGCTGTGTAGAAAATCCCCAGAAAATATGTTCAAGAAATCAATCAATTTGGTTTTTAATTTCATAAAGAATTTTTCACCCAGTACCTGACAGGAGCGCCTCTGCTCTGTGCAGGTTTCAGCAAGACTGTCACAGTGCTGTCAGTTTGATTCAAAGGTGTTTCAAGTTCATACGGTGGCATAGAGGGTGCTAGAATAAGAAAAGAGGCAAATAAAATCATTATTCCTGTGTTTCTTCTTTCAAGAGCTGTATCTTTATTTGAATATGCAATTTTAATGGTTTCTTCAAATACTAAGACCATACTACAAGTCTAAGATGCTTTCTGTTACAATGCAAGTGTGAGACAATTGTTAAATAGCTTCAGGAAAAAAGAAAAAAAAATCCCAAATAAAGAAATACCAGCTCACTCCCAGTTTCAAGATAGGAAACAGATACTAGTGGGAGTAAGTTTGCAGAAACTATTGAGAATCCATGACTTGGAAATGAAAAGTTATCTTAAGAACAGCATCTGCAAATGTGCATGCTGAAGTGACTATTGTTTTTGAAACTTAGCCCAGCTTTCTCAGTATGACAGCTGTATCAGGATGTACTCTTATAATTTGTTTTTCCTGGAATTTTAACTAGTGCTATAACTGTCTTGGGTCTATTGTCCACCAAGACAAAAGTTCATCTTAGTCTGAAGCCCCACTCAGCACTTTTGCAAACTGTCATCATTAAAGATTTACAGTTGTGATTAAACAAATGATGCCTCAGCTACTGCCTTTTAATGTTGCTGCTTTCTTCACTGCTATCATCTACTCACATTTGTATCATTACAATGGAGGGAAGGCTACTCAGTTAATTGGTTATTTGACAGGCTGCTGTATCCTTACTGCTCACTTGTTAATGGTGATGCAAAATTAACAGATTTAAAGGCTAGAGAAGCAAAAAGTGGTCATTGCAATGGTCTCTTCTAACTCCAGGAATAATGCAGGGCAATAAACTCTGCTAAACTAATTCCCACTTGAAAGTGAAGACATGTTTGGTGAGGAAGAAGACCTTTTCCTTAGAAGGTTCTTCCAAAGATTGATTTAGTTAGCCTCAATTAATTCAGTTTCATCTTACTGGATACTTTGCAGGTAACATACCAATAGAGTCTATTATGCCCCACATACAGATTGCAACAACCTCTAGGAAATTATTTTCAAGTGTATTTTCCAATAATTTTCATTTCTCCAGTATTATCTATATCTACTTGAAAGGCAAATTAATTTTTCTCTCTTTATCCATAGCATCCTACATATCCAAGTAAGGATTGCGTGAAGAATTGCACTGGACTCCACAATTCCTCAGACTGCTGGGAAAACATTAAAATCTTCATTGCTTTGCATTGCTATTCACCAGTTTCGAAATGTTTCACAAATAAAAAAAGTCAGTCTTCAAAAACCTCCTTGTATGCTGAGAAGGTTTTATTCTGTTTACAATCCTCAATATAAGGCACAAATATTAAGACTAATAGTTTTAAGTAATTTGGGTACCACTTAAGTCATACTATCAAAAACTACTTTAAAGGTTCAGGCACACTCTGCAGATTTGAATATTCAGAACTTGTTCATATAATGTCCTATTCTCAACCTGACCATCCTGAAAAAAAGAATGGACAGGAACTGTATCTCTGAAAGCTGTACAGTTTTTGAGTACTCTGTCATTTCTTGTCCTTGTTCTACTACCCACAACTTAGCAAGTCTTTTGATTTTCCTAATTTATGCACCCTAAGTCCCTGTTTGCTCTCCTTACTAATTTTACTGTCCCTACAGAGACCAAGACTGTCTTCCTGTCCCAGATATGAGTTGTGGTTCTCCCAGTCATAACCTTTAGAGTCCTGGCTACTTTTCTCTTCTTCATTTTTCCTTGTCTACTTTAGAACTCTTCCTCCTCCACACTGCCCACATGTAAAGAAGGAACTTATTAATAAACAGAGAAAAACAGGAAATATTAATGTAATAGTAAAATAAAACACAGTAACTATTCCCAGTACATAAGAGTACTATTCAAAACCATTGACAGGAAATTTGGAAGTTTATATTCAGAAAAAAATGCAGTCCAGAATTAGTCAGAGTAAAATGCAAAAATTGGTCAAATTGCACCTAATCTGTTCTAAAAAATAGCGAAACCTTTCATCCAGAAATATTCAGAAGTTCTATTTCACATCTGTCCAAAATGGGGAGCACTGTCTACACAAAAGAGCCTCAAAAATTTCCAGGGAGACAATGAGATCACAGCCAATAGCACTGCAAAGAGGGCTCCATATTCAACAGCTAAAATGCTGTTGGAACTTTTCAATTTTATTAAAAAATTCAATTTTATTAAAAAAACCCACACATTTTGTTTCTAATTTAAATTCATCAGAGATTGGCTTTAATTACTTAAGAACAAGGCAAACACTTCTTGTCAGTACAGTAACTGAGGAAGCAATGAGAGAGTGGGGTGCAGACAAGACAAGTTTGCAGAACCTCGCCACATGGAGATTTGGAGATTTCCCTCATCCTCAAGCTCTCCTGAAATGCCTGTTCCCACTAGTGAATTTTTGCTGATGACATAACATTTTAGAAAACAACAATTTAAGATCCAGTACTATTCCCAAATGTCCAGATTCTCATCCATACTCAGTAGTCTCCATTCCTCATTCTAATAAGGGGTGGTATCATCCTCCTAACTGATATAAAGGTTTGCTGTCTCAGACATTGATTTTCAACACAGAAATTTTCTACTTGTTATAGGAGTAAACTCCATCTTTACTGATCAGTGTTACTTATGTTTCATATTTCATACAGAGTTAATTATCTAACCTGAAAATTAACATTTTTGTTTCTCTACAAACAGCTGCTTTGGCAGTAACTTCCACCTTGCATTAACTGTCCTCTCCAATAATAAAACAGGAGAAATAATTCTATTTCTGGTAAACACTTGTCCATTTTTTTCATTCCATTGAGGACAGAAAATGAGGGATGGGGGAGAAGAATAAAGAATGACAATAAGAGAAAAAGAAGATTTTGTACCCAAATGCTTTCTGGAAAGCCCAGTTGCCCACAAATAGGTAAGGCAATTTTCTGTAAATATTATCAAGGGGACGGTTAAAACACTTTGTCATGAATTACATAAGCATCTTGGAGGATGCAATAATATTCCACCCCCTCAATGAAAAGTTCCTCTGCCTCAAGGGAGGGCTTGAAATATTGGTCAAGGATCTGCAGAAGTGACAGAGTCATGATGCTGCTATCTGAAAACCACTAGTCCTGATGTTCTTATCTAATACAGTTTCCTATCCACTTCAGTCCCCATGCTTGTTAGAACACAGGCAGCCTGGCAGCTAACTACAATTTCAAAGTGAGCTCTAGATGCACAGCATCTCTGCTCTACTCTTGATTGTTCATGGCTCATTAAAGAGATTTTCCAGCACTGTTACTGTTCTAATTTAGAATCATGTCAAGGCTGACTAAGCTCTGAATGAAACCCTCATCTTCAGGTCCAAAAAAACCCTATGCTAAATGTTGCAAGTGCAGCTGGCATTGGCTGCAAACACATAATTCACAGGGGTTTCTTGAATGATATGTTACAGTTGAGAACAGGAATTTCAAAATACTAGCTAATATTTAAGCACTTAGAAGTTCTTCAGGGATGACTTTGACATCTTCAGGGATGAACGTGTTTCTTCCCTTTTTCAATTTGCAGCTTGTTAAATTCTAAAGAAGTAAACAACAAAAGAATTACCCAACTCATTATCATAAGGAAATAATATTCTTTGATCAAGTACCTGATATCTTAGTAGTGAACTGATTTGTTATTGGCGGTCCGAAGCCTTTAGCTGTGCTGGCTCTGATGGTGAAAGAGTAGGTAGTGCCAGGATACAGTCCGAAAAAGAGATAGTGCGTTTCATTTCCTAGCTTTGAGACTCGTCCACTTTGATTGGATAAATCTATTTCTGGGTCAAAGGAACTGACAGCCTTGTAGGTGATCTGCAAAAGAATAAGAAAGTTATAAACTGCCTTAGAGCAGATGGACAGAGATTGCATCTTTATCCAGTAAACCCTTCTGATGTATGCGCTGTCAGACATTTTATGATAAGCTATCTTACTCTCTTATACTCTTCAAATCCCTAGTCCCAGGAAGGGGTACAGGAACTGAGTCATAACTTGTACGAGTTATTAGTTTTATAGATACAGAGATTTAGAGGCAGCTAGATTACAACTCTAAAGGATGGGATCAGGCTTATGTTAATTCCCTCAAGATGCTGCTTTTAACAGTGCCACATTTTGAATTTGTCTTAATGTTGGTTTTGATCAGCACCAGTAACAAAACCAAAAGAAATGGGTGAAAACTGAGAAGTGTCCAAGAGGGAGTGCAGCCCCCCAGATACAGCTGACTTTACTATAATTACACCTTGCCCTGAATGAGGTTATCTGTAAAAGATGATAAGGGCAGCTTAAAGCAAATTTTTCAGAAACTGGGTAAAGCTTCTATTTTAGTCTGAAGCTTAGTTATTACAATTGCTAATTTGGAAATTTTCAGGTTATCATATTGTACCTAGGTCAGATTCTCATTTGGAGGGAAGAAAAGATAAATGTTAAGTAATATATGCAGTGTATATTGTATCCTCAGTTCTTTCCTTGATTCAAACAGTATGTTTAGTTTTCATTATAAATGTTAATGTAAGTTCACAGTAAAACTTGATCCAGACTTCTTCTATTAATTACTGATTTCTATGCACTGTAATGAGAATTTAAAAATATGAAAACCATTTAAAAATATGAAAGCCATTAAAAAAATAGAAAAATAAAAATGACTCACCCCTCCTTTTTGCTTTTAAAGTTTCATTTTCATGTGAGTAATTACAAAACCCTTATTATATAAAAGTGATAATTGCCATTCTTTTTGCTAAACTTATTCAATATAATTTTAATTAAGAGGACCCATAATACAGTATATAGACACATCCAAGATGTTACACACCTTAAACACTTGCAATTTCCTAAAACTTCTGACCTAATGAAAATTGATTTTTATATGAGCCATCTAATATAACATCAATGAAGGGCTGAAAATTAGTAATAAAAACTTTCAGACTATTCAGATAAACCCTGACCTTATTACAGTAGATACAGGCATATCCTCTACAAATCCTCATCCATAAACTGAACTCAAAGTACCTTAAAAAGCACCCAACTAACCCTTCTAGTTCTATCAGATGACGGAAGATTAAACCACCAACTGTCTGAACTTTTATCAGTAAAAAAATTAAGGTAACATATTGCTCACATGAATCTCCCTATCTCAATACAGCTGATGGAGTCATGTGTGCGTACACATTTAAGGATGAACTGCCTGGATACAGTGGGTGTACTCCTCAGCAATGGAATTAGACATGCAGGCATGTTCCTAGGTAGAAACCAGATCCACCACCGTGTGTTTCAATGCACATAAATCTAGCAACAGTAACAATATTAACACTTAATTAAAACATGCTGATCTCTGAACACAGGCAGCTGTCGTGGTAGCTAGAAAGTTGTTAGCTTTACAAAAAAATCAATTCATACTTTTTCATAACATTTTATCCTCTTACAATAAAGAAGTTTTCAAAACAGTATCAATAGGTTACTATTCAATTTAACTTTTCTTTTACACTGTATTTAGGTGGGTTTTTTTAAACAAAGCATTTCAATACCAATTTTGTAGTAAGGTCAGGTAAGAAGCTTAACAGTGATTACTGTCTGACAGCTTAATCTGTGCAGCCTTTTGTCAATTTTTATAAGAGGTATTCAGGCAGACTTCCACATGAGAAAAACAAGTGATTTTTAGACATCTAACAACATACAATTTTGTTGAATTTGCATTTTTAAAAAGCTAGATTTTTAAAAATTATTCCTTGCTTGTTTCTGTTACAATAGGCTTCCTAAAATGATGCCTATCTAAATGTGACATTGACTGTAACCGCTATCTTATGTCTCTAATTTTTAAAGGAATTTGCTAATATCTGTCTTTCAATCTTTTAAATATTTGATCTAGAGTACTAGATAGAATGCTATGTCATGGTTCTAGACATAGCAGGTTTCTTAAAGCTGATAACTTGAGGACATGCTGCGTCCTGTGTAATTTACTCCTGCATTATATTTACTTTTAAATGGCTACCTTTAAAAAAATTAAATTAATTTTACATAAAGTGTAAAAACACATTAATTTTTTTTTATGATTATGCATGTTGGAAAATCAAACTAGACATAAAACGTGGCAAATTTCTAGATACCTCATACAAAGTAATCACACCATATGTTTGCGCTGGCTCCCTCCACTGAAGAAAAATCTTCTCTTCAAAGGTACTTCCTTGAATGGATTCAAGTGGCACAGCACTCGGGACTAACAGATTAAAAAAAAGAAGTGGTTTTAAGAAAAATCTCAGAAGGACATGCTCTGTTTAAATATTTGTACTGCTGAGGTATAAAAACCATCCCACCATAATTTCCCCAAAGACTGAAGCAAAGGCCAGGGTAGCTCAGCAGAAGAATGATTTATTTAACAAGACAGTGCCATTATGTGACACCTTCAGTGTAAGAATGAATTAGTGAGCATCACACATCTCCTGTAAACCTCTACTGATAATTTTAAAAAAGGACAAATCAGCTTTTTAGAAGCTGATTCTACATAAGAAGCTGAATCTACCCAAGTAAACACAAGTAAAGAAGTAAAATATTCTTGTGATACCTACTTATTAACAGTGTTACTTCCCAAAGTGGAAAACATATTACACATTTCATATATGAAAATGGACAAGCATTGAATAACAAGATATAGTTTCACAGAAAAGTTATACTGGAAAGATGAGCCACATATTGCATTGGACAGCAATGCTCACAGACAATAGGCCTGAAAATCTATGACAGAATGGACATAAGAAAAGTATGAAGCAGTCAAAGTAAAAAATCTGACATTATTAATTTTTCTAAAGTCTCTTAATATGGGAGAAAGACCTGTGAAGAGTCAGGGATTTCAGAAGGTTCTGATGAAAGGTATGCAAACTGCTGTCAGGTATCTATTTGTGTTTCCCATTTGTTCTGCAACCATTGCCTTACCCCCAAGACAATACAATATTTAGAGGGGAAATGTAAATGGCACGTAGACATACATCTGTGATTTTATTTTGTAACAACACTGGCAAAGTAATGCAAAAAATAAAAAACTCCTAAAAACTCACAGAGGAGTGTTGTGAAGCAACAGGCATTATGGTGTTAACACTTCGACAGAAACTCCATGTGAAAATTCAATAGAAAGATACACATAACATTTTCTACTTGGCACAGAAAGAAGGTGGAAGCCACTTGCTGCAGTGATTTAAAAAACTTCTCAGACTGAGATTTACTCAAATGGTTAAGGAATAGAAAAATCTGCAAGCAAGACATTTGGTTACTCCTTCCTGTTGGCACTTCTGGTACAGAACTTTCTCTATATTTCTGCTACAGAGCTTCCTACTCCTCCATGCTGTTGCTGTGGGACGTCTCAAGGTTTAAGGCTTTTTGATCACCACTCCATAGCTCTCCAGAGAGCTCCTTGCTCTATCAAATGGAAACTCCAAGGACACAGGCTGTGAACTGGGTTACCAGTCCTGTGTGCACTAGGACACCTTTAGGGCAATCTTAATTCTGGGCACTAAATCTTTCTTCCAAGTAGGAGAACTGGCAAAACTCATTTGGAATTATGAGAGCAATGATTTATGTGTAAAGGAAGAGGAATTAAATATAGTGTAAATAAGCTGGAAGTAGAGCAAAGCACTGTAACCTCTCAAATAATCTGAAGGTCATGAACCCTAAGCAGCTGTGCCATACAGGGCAGGTTCAAACACTGGCAGAGGTCACCTAGAGATGTACTCAAACTCAACATTACAAGTTGAGTTCTGTACAAGTCCCTTGCAACCAACAAGATTATGTGATGTGAAAAATTATGATGATTATTTGGGTTAGTATACACTGTTGTTTAATATTCAGACATATAGTTCACTGAATGTGTACAGTACACTAAAAAGTTGTAATTTTTTTCAAGGTATTCTCTCAGACAGTGACACTGGTTTTTAATAGGTTCTGAAATAACATGAGGTTCCAGAGAGACAGGAACAAGAAATTTTAGGTAAAATACATAAACATCCCAGGCAACAATAAGCTTTTTAGTGCTGTCATCCTACAATTGAACCGAATTAAATTTAGAGCATGACAGCACAATTAATTCTAATTAAACATTTCTTTTTGTTAGCTATGCTTTGCTGAAAATGTCACATTAGTAACTATATATTCCTAAATTGTTTAATTTATTCCCTCATATATTTTGATTAGAAATTAGTACTACATAAAACCAATACAGCATGTATTAAATAATTTAATAGGCTTAAATGACAGACTTCAAGTATTTATTATAAAAAGAGCTCATCACTGCTTAAGTTTTTACTAGAAATATTTCCATCATGTTTTAAGGAAATCTATAACTGATGTGGAAGAAAATACAAATCCATTCCTGTTCAGATTTCAGAGGATAAAAATGGAAGGTGGACAGATCTGTGATAAAAAGCAATGCCAAGTCATTTGACAAGGTTCCTTTGAATTGTATGCATTTAAAAGAACCAAACCAAGGTCAAAAAAACTAAGGTACACTTGTAAGGGGCCATATATCAGCACAGAGTATTCTGGAAAGATGAAACTGATTCCTGGTGCTTGACGAATTCAAAAAGGAAGTTGCATTTTGGTATTGTAGCTAACAGAGCTGCAGTAACTCTCTGCATGTGTAATCAAAATAGTATCACAAAAGACTTGGGAGGATGGTATAACCTTTTCATGCAACATTATTACAGCATTGCAGAGACACATTATCCAACTCTGCTGTCTCTGTCTCAAAAAAGACATTAGCTATTTAGATTATTTACTACTTATTATATTTAATAATAATCTAAATAGATTAAAAAAAAAAGAGAGATCTGAAAACCCCATAGGAGGTGAAAATTATTAAAAGGAAGGGAATATCTGTATATTTCAATGCCTGTATATGGAATATAGTGTTGAATTAGCAACTAACAGTGTCCAGGGGTTAGAGAGCCAAAGCCAGAGAAACTGAAACTGCAAATGAAGAACAAAATGCAGAGCACATCACTCAGTAGAGAAGTTTCCATGAGGATACTGCTGACAATCACCTGGAATTTCTTCGAACTGATACTGGAACTTTAGACAGGCAGAACATAGCTAGAGCAGAAACTACAAGTTTAAGGATGAAATGATTAAACTGTTGTGGGATGTTACAATTTATGTGAAAGATCACTCTAATAGTGGAGCTTTACTCTATTAATGGTGAGGTCGGTGGAAAGTCTGTTGCAAATTTTAGAGAAAGCAGAACATGCACTTAAACAGAGAATTTATACTATCAGGTCATGTGCCATGTATATGTAAATACAAAAACTCACCATCTTCATCAGTTTGCACGACAAGTTCTTGGCTTTCTTTCCGTCCTTCAGGATTCATTAATACTAATTTGATGCTGACATTTGTGTATGGTGATAGGTTGGTAATTGTGTGCTGGGGATGTGAACTTTCTGTATCCCAGCTGACTTCCTCCCTCACTTGCTCCTGTCCTCCAGCCTGGTAGCGGTAATGGACTGTGAGGTTGTAGCGATGGCAACGTGTGACATTATATCCAAAGGGCTCCCAGCAAATAGTGATCTGTCTAGATTTGATCTCCACAACCTCCAGTCTTCGGGGCCCACGCATCGGATCTGCAAAATTGCCAACATAATTCTGGTGTGATTACTTATTCATAGTATAACAGTGACGTGAGAGGCAAGTTGTACAGTTCTACAAGTGCACCAGAGAAGCAGGAACAGACATCCACTGCTGTATAGAATCATAATATAATAGAAGTACAGTCTCTGAAAAAGCAGGGAGAAATGGAGAAAAGAGTGAGAGGTGTCTGCTGAAAAATGAAGAGCAAACAAAACACTAAGAAGTTCTTATGATTCAACTCAAATTGTATGATATAGATGAAATGACACTTTTTAACCTATTTGTTGCTTGCCAAGAGTAAGCATGTCTAATTTCTTTTGCACAAGTTATTTTTATTAACACGTTTAGAGCAATAACCTGCACAAAACAAGTATCTAAAAAAAAAATTGTAGTTTCAGAAAAAACTTGCAAATATACGTTGATTTTCTTGCAGGACTGTTTATACAAAGGCTAGATGGTTTTTCAGCTACTTCTTATTAATTTGTTTTTAGGTTAGACTGAATGGAATTACTCAATCTCTATTTGTCCATGACATTAAGTTAATATACCAATTTCTTTAAAGTAGATCATAGGGTTGTTTTCCACAAAAACGTTAGCTGTTAATAGTGCAAACACCTTGATTTGTTATAGTGGTTTAGCAAAGATACAAAATAAACAAGATATTCTCCTGCATCTGTGCTTTTCTAGAGATCTCCCAGATGAAAACGAGCCATCAATCAAAACTACAAAAAATATATACACAAGCACCAAAGACTGTGGTTGATAAACTTAAATTTTCTTCAACCTGGCCACAGCAATTGAGCTAGAAAAGTACATTAAAATTTCCACCATATTACAGCAGAACCACTGAGCTGACACCTCTCCATATTTTCAAAACACTGTCATTAACAGAGCTATTATAGATATTTAGCAATAATCAGGGTTTTTTCATATTTGAGTCCTCAAAAAGATTAAAGACAATGTCAGGTTTTATCCACTGCTTCACTAGTTAAACACTTAGAAGACTTTTAATGAGTTAGAAGACTCTTATACGTAAACAAATTAATATGCATCTTCCTCCTTTTATGTTTATTAATCAACATGTCTTCACTAGGAATGTTCTAAACAATTTACACAGGATTTCATCTTTTTACTTTTTAACATAATCCCCGCATGCTTGAAATATTTTTTCAAAGATGTTATTCATCTTAACTCCTTGAAGAAAAGGTGTTAAGAAATTGCTTGTTCTAATATCTACAAAGAAGTTATTTTCCCCCTCTTTTAAATCATCCAGCTGCTTTTTAATTTTTTAATTAATTTTCAGTGTCAAACAATGTTGATAACCACTATAGAATATTTGGCAATTGGTGAAAAATGGAAAAACAAACCAAATTTTGATCCTGGTCTCCTTCCTAGCAACTTAACTGAGAGGTAAAAATGTCCCCCCTAAAGATAAATTGCTATTGAGCCATTTATCTGCTTCCATTCCCAGGCATCCCAGATAAGAATTCTGGCATCTGGGAACTTTGCCACATTTCTATTGCTACAACCATTAAAATTAATATGAAGCAAACCTCAAGGAGTGGTATACAGACTCAATAACTTCCGAAACATTTACTTCTGTGTAGTTCAGACATAAACTTCACAGAAAATGAGTTTTCCTGTTCTTTTTTTAATTTCATTCCAGCCTCTAAAAATTTTTTGGTTAAGGTGTGATGATGAACAGAAAAGGACATTTGAGAGGTATTGTATAATTGTAATCGTATCTGAATCGGCTAAATAGAAATAAAAACCCAACAAAATTGAGGTGACCCTGATATACAACATTAAACAACTGAACAAAGCTCCTCCTGCAAGAATATGGAACAGCCTGCTTAGTTCCACAGTGGGCACATCAGAAAATTCACAGGGGAGCTGAGAAATCATTTTATTAGAGACATAAACCTGATTCATAGCATTTTAGAAGAGAAATTGAATGGCTGTACAAAATACCTGGATCAAAACCTAACCAAGATTTTTGCCTGGGAGGAAGGTATTCTCATGTCATGTTGCCTTAAGAAAAAGTACAAGTAAGCCCTCTAGTTAAATCTGTGAGAATGACTGATACATTTTCACCTCCAACAAAAGAGACAAGGGAAAGAAGAGTTTAGATTGAAAAAGATAGAGACAATACAGCTTTCCTTGCTATTCAAAGGACAAAGCTCATCAGACAAGGCTAATAGCCTGGTTGCTTTGGCTCCTGACTTGATTCTATAACCCATAGCATCTGTCAGGTACACAGCTCATATCCATTTTTCCTACCATTCATTCAGAGATTATGCAACTAATAGGGTCCTAATGAACCCTGTTGTCAATGAGTGCTTTAACAGCCCTACATTTAAGTAGGAAAAAAACTGGATAAGGTAACAATGGAATTTTGGGATTAAAAAAAAAACCTTTGTGGCTCAAAACAGCCCTGAAAAACAGCAGTTAAAAAGCTAGAAAACGAAGTTTCCATTTGATCAATTTAGCAACTAAATTGAATTTCTCTGGAGGTACCACTGTAGATGACAGGGGAAATATTTCACAGAATAGAATCACACAATCATCAAGGTTGGAAGAGATCTTTAACATCATCAAGTCCACCTGTCAACGCTGCACTGTCACTGTAACCCCTAAACCACTAAACCACCTCACCCAGTGCTAGATCCAGATTCCTATTAAGCATCTTAAGAACCTCTAGGGATTGTCATTCCCAACATCTCCCTGGGAACCTATTCCAATGCCTGACCATCCTAAATGTGAAAAAAAAAAAAAAATCTGATTATCTATCTATCTATCTATCTATCTATCTATCTATCTATCTATCTATCTATCTATCTATCTATTTTAATGTAATATGGGTATGAGAGCACAGTACCTCACTTCTAATACACTGGAAGGTATATGCTCTTCATCAGGAAGGACACAGGATACTTGGGGAAAGGAAACTGCTACTCAGCACTAAAAGAATGACAGCTAATGACTGCGATTTAAAAGGGAAAGCTGAATTAATTACTACGGCATGATGATTTCATTCAGTTGATTTTATTTTCTGCAGAATTTATCACTTTCCCATGGTGGGGTACCAACTTTAAGTGAAGAAGTAGGCATCCTTCAGAGATGCTGCTATTGTGCTCATGAGACTTGCACTACCTATCCCTGTGAAGTGGAAGGCTGTCATCCCAGCAATGGTCTGGGTTGGTAATGGTTGTTGTTACCTTGCACCAGGTATGGTAAGTGATAGCTACACAGAGAGGTGTCATTTCACAGTGCTGCTGACCACAGCTGAAATCACACCTTTTACAGCATAAGAATAAGGAGTTCAACACACAACACCAACTGTATTATATACAACATATGTACTTCATAGCACGAGTGCTATTTGCTAAGCCTCTGACTGCTCCTTACTCGGTAAATGCCCACCTCCAGAGGTTACACAGCCAAATCTCTCCACCCACCACAGTTTTCTAAGTGAACCAAGCCTCTGCTCCTCCTCAGTACTCCAGCTATTTTCTTACTTTTTACTGGTACAAATCATGAGGCAAATGGGGAAAATGAGGCCACCCGACTCATAAGAGAAGAGGTTTTCCTCCCAAAGGAGCACACTGCCTGTCAAGCCTGAAGTCTAGCCAGGTAGTTCTTTATCCATTCCCCTGCTGGTGCCTGCAGCATTTTTCATACAGCTCTCCTTCTGCCAGGTTCAGCAGGGAATCAGACAGTGAATTCTGACAGTTGCAGCTCTGACCTGAGGGACCAACAAGCCTGGTTCTAGCCCCTGGCACTTTAGCATCCCATTTAATCGGTGATCCTGGCTCCTTCTCTGCTCCACTCTGTTTTCCTGAGAATATGGAGCACAGACTGACAGACAGGATCAATTTCCATCGCAGCTGCAATTCACAGCTCATTTCTCTGGAACTTCGCTCTTTACCTTTTACCACAAGTACAATGCTTTTTCAGAAACTCAATTTCAGAATCACAGAGACATTTAGGTGTATTTTTAGCATCTTGTCATTGATCATCAAAACTTGAGTTTGAGATGAAAACTCAAGACTGGAAGTTTTGTCTTTTCATCACAGCCTGCACAGACCTACTGAGTTAAGAACAAGAAAGGAATGGCATGGTGATTTTCTGCCTCTCCATGGGTACTCCAGTAGCTGCAGACATCTGGTCTGTGTTAGATACTATTTGAAAGGCACCTAACAATAGGGATTAAGAATTTATTTCTTGTCGAGACAAACTATTAGTGGAGTTTAGCTATGCAACAACTCTCAGGACTGAAATTTCACATCAGACTCTATTGTCCTCCCACAGGAAGTATGGGATAGATAGAACAGGAAAATAAATATATAATGAGAACTGAATATTGAAGATATTATCCACAAAACAGCTTTTCAAAACATAATAGTTAGTTAATAATAATTAAAAGTAAAGGTTTCACAGATTGCCTAAGCAGGCTTGTTCAAAACACTTAATATCTTTTCATATCAATTCCCTCTGGGTAAAGGGGGAGCCACAGTACTCTAGCATCAGTATCCAGTGGTGTCATAGAGAATTTCATGAATGCCTGCAAAGAACTTGCACATTACAGTGGTGGAGACCACCTGCAGGGAAACAGAAAACATGGCTTGTGAGCCAGCTGCTATCAAAGTAACAACATTTGGTTTCTTTCTAGAAAACAAATCTCCCTGTTTGTATACATCTACAGTCAATGCCAAACAAGGATATAGGTAAAATAATTTACTTGTTTGGCTTGTCCTCATTTGATTTGAAATCTAATCTACACATGACTACTAACAATTTGAGGCTGTTTGCAAATTTGGTAAGACAGTTGTGTAAAAGATCACATTTAGCTGTGATGGTGGGATTTTTACACTGTTATTTTTTTCATCTGAGTTCTTCAACAGATTGAAGTTCAAAAAGAGCTCTTTGCTCCAAATGCCACATGATTTATCTGAACTGATAACAAAGCAGGGTTTTTCAAATTCCAGTTTCA